ATCGTCATCCGAATCATCACGATCAAGGACGTACCGCATGCTTCATATGCCTCCACCTGACGCCATCGACTTCTTCCCCGTGTGTCCCGTTGACGTGCAGTGTCGCAGGAGGTTCAAGCACCATCGAACTCGGCCCGCCCTCTTTGGTTTTGCGGATCTTGACTACGAATGCTTGACCGCCGATGTTGTCTGCGCTGCCGGGTAGAATGAGCGACGTGGCGACGCCACCGCTGCGTGAAAGAGCAAAGGCCGCGTCGTGGGTGTTGAACCCGTCAAGAGAGCGCAAGTACGGCATTGTGGGTGCTTTAAGCGAGTTCGTGTCGTCAGAGCCTGAAAACAAACGTGAGATTAATGTATCAAAGGCCTGACAACGACATACCACGAAGTTCGGGGACGCTGTCAACGCCAAGATGACTGTGCATATCGTTAATAGCTGCAGATTTGGTTAGATAACGTCAGGTAAAGCTTGAAAGCCATACCCGGAGAAACCCACGCTCCGCCAATATTCTTCGTGACAAGCTTTGGTCCAGCATTGTCCAATAACGCTTGTGGGACACGTCCGACCGCCTTGATAATTCCCCTGTCTAAAAACACATCACCCAGCACAATCTCATATCCACCATCGCCTCCAGTCCAGATTGTCGCATTCTGAATCAACGTCGGTGGTGTTCCAGGCTCAAACCGATCGGAGACCGTTCGACTCCAAAAGCTACGTGGTGGCCCAGGCTTTTCATGGAGCGATTTGCAGCGAGAAAGTGCCGTGGTCGCGTGTGGTGGAAGTGAACGGGAACGGTGAGAACGAGGGATGTGGTTCACATTCCAGACGATAAACGCAGCGGCGCCAAGGAGAACAATAGCAAACGAGTTGAGTCGGAGTACACAGGCGGATTTTGTTTTGCGACGCAGCGCCGGGGCCGGCGCTGGTAGTTCTTCCGCTTTGCTCGCCATCGCGGTCGAGTTGAAAGTGGCCGGAGGTAATTCGGGTTAGCAGGTCTTCAGCGCTAAACTATTTCAAATTGAGCTTATTTCCGTCTGGACCCTGCATACACTACAGGCTTGTATACCCCACGGCGACCAAATCGTTGTACAGGTTCAAACGCTTTGAGTACGGTCTCCATGCTTATACTAGCTTACATTCTCCTTGCAAGTTGTTCAGCGTAATCTACTAATATTTTGATTGAATAAGCCATGTTATGCGGTGGACCCACCAGATTGGTGTATACTGGCAGCAGAAAGTTCAAGTACATGCGTCCAATTCTGGGAATTTCCCCCCACGACCATATATCTAGCTCACCGTCATCACATGCTTCAAGACTCTCTACGCCCTCAAACTCTGCTAACAGATTACTTGACTAAACCACCGATCAGCCTGAGGTAAATCCTTTCTAGTTTCTCTTTTCCTCTCCTGCGGGAATGTCCGTCAGACAAGCCTATGTCTCCTTACTTCCGAATCTGTCGGGTGGTTTAGACCAGAGGACGTCTCATGTGCATTGGAGCTCGCACTTGGGGGTTTCACTTTCGAGGCGGAGAGCGGACACCGATATCCTTTGACTCTCATTTCTGTAGCTAATATTCACACGACCTTATATGAGGAGAACGTATTATATAGATCTGAAGGGGTAAGGCCCACATTTAAATGTATGGCACTAAGGTGCTATAAATACTTTTAAGCTTGAATACGGCGCGCGGTACCTCAGGCATACAATAAGCGACGCAACGGGTACTATAAGAGAAATGCCGTCGGCCTGGGCCGACTAAGCAGGAGACCCACTCAGTATTCAAAGAAATACCTAGATGCCATGGACTCTGCTCTATACTATCCGATGATTGAGTACTTGGAGGGGTAAAAGCTCCCTTTTGTATGCACACAGTGCGTAATTTAAGCAAGCGCCCGAAGTAATATTGGAACAATCGAAGTTAAGGCTTTACACAGCTCGTGTTTGTGACCTGAAATAACATTTATAGCATCAAGAACGGGGGGTAACGCCATGGCAGGCCGTAACAAAGTGGCGATCTATGCGCCTGTAAGTGCATGACGATATTGAGATTAATAGGCCACATATTAAGCAAGCCACGCATACAAGCGTGAGCGAACACATTGAACTTGATAGCACGCATTTATATTGCACGGGAGTTGAAGCCAGGTTCTCAGTGATGAGGAGCTTAAACCAGATCAACAATTTTTCAAGAGTTAGACCAGTCATACAGAGAATTGTTCAAGGCTGCGTAGTGTAGTGGTTTATCACTCGAGATTTTGATTGCTGACTGCTTAGTCATGCTTATCTAATTCTCGTAACCCCGGTTCGAGCCCGGGCGCGGCCTTTTGTTTCGAACTTGCGCTCACTTTGGAACCATCGAGAGAAGAACAGAATTAAAAAACTCATAGTGGCTCGAGGTATATGCATTGTTTCGAGCTTCAATTTTTTCTAACCAGATTTTTCAACGTGATATCTAACCTTCTCTCGTATACATTCCAAGACTGTGTCGGGCCAAGGCCTGAAGGGGATTTGCAGTCCGTAGGGGGAGGGGATTGACCCTGTCCGTAGGCAGGTAGCCGAATTAAGCGCCAGAGCAGGAAGCCAACCATGTTAGCGCCATACCTCTCGCTACCCTTATCTCATATGGAGCTATTCCTCACCATATGCGGCAACTTGTGCCAAAAAGTACAAATTTCAACCGTAGTCCGCGCATATACTCGTCTTTTTCGCGACCGGATACCGAAGGGTATATCCTGTAATTAATGAGCCAGCTTAACGGGAAAACGCTCAGTTTACAGTTCGCACGTAGCGCATTTATTTCGAAACTATCAAAATATTGGCAAGGGATTTGAGCTGCTGGTGAGTTGGAGTTTAGGGGAGGAACAGCCAATAGAGCATGGTTCGATCCGATCCGACTCCCCCCGGCTCCTGAGCCCCTATTCGGATTTGTATTTAGTTCTGTTCGCACCCGAGGCACAATCCAGTGGAATCTTTCCCCCTTCACTGCGCTCAATCGAGTTCGATGCGTGAGCTTCGCTACAATTTAGCTCTTTGGCGCTGATCCTTCTCTCCAGCAAATGGTGCCTCCTCATCGCTCTCCGCTGGGAGCGTGGGGACTACGCGGTATTTTAGGGGTTCACTCACACTCGAACAGTTTGCTAACAGCTACCTCATACTCTGACGCTGTCTGGCGGCTGTGCAACGCGCACTGCACTTGTCTCGGCTCCACGCTCGCCCGGTCTCCCATGGAGCGGCTCACCCATATTGAAGCGCGTTCCTACTCTCACTTTTACGTTTAGAGCTTTCGACACTAACGGGCACTCTCGCTGTATGCTACAGCATCTAACGGTCTTTAGCGGAATTGGTCCCTGGCGTAGATATCGTATCTGCCGCTACCACATCTCTTCTCGATTCGACTCTGGTGTCAATTTAGATTCAGACCAGACCTGCCGCGCGCACAGGATCCCACTTCGGCTCCGTAATGGTATATACCACCCCTACCCCTCCGATATCGCCCGTCTGGCCTGGTTTTGAAGGTTTCTTCGGACAGTCGTCCTGGCTCTGCGGCGCTGCCCACTCGCTCCACCCTTTACCTTCGTTTGGCCCTTTTTTCTCTCGCTGTTAAAGCAAGCTCACTATACGTGCCCGGACGCGTTATAACTCCCTATATGTCTTTTACTCGTGTGGTCATCCGCTCTGGAAAACATGTTGCTCTTCTATGCTAAATTGTAGGTTTTGTCCCAAACATGACCCTACGTTTCAACAAGTTTCTCGACCTTCGGTGTGTTCTGTGTCGTCTCACACGGAGTCCTAGTCGTCTCTATCATCCTATTATCACCTAGGTGCAATAACATTCAGCTCAAACTGCGACAATTACAGTAATTCGTCACCTGCTCCAGCGTTCGCACCGACATCTCCTCGATTCGGTGGGAGAGCTCAAGCGCCTTGAGTTTTTCTTCATTACTTCTCGTATAATTTGCAACCCCTCATACATTAGCCATTCTAGTAGGACGACCGCGCCGAGCACTCCCTTGCACCCGAGTCCGACGCGCTTGTTTCGCCACAAAGAGCACTAAAGCTGGGAAAGGAGCCAACAGAAAGTGTTCCAATTATTCAATTCAAGGTCGAATTTCTTGAGTCAGTACACAGAAACCCAATACAAACTTGCCATGAAGAAGAATACAAGCATCACACGCATACATCCAAGGTCCATTCAAATATACCAACCCCAAACATCGGTTACATCAACCACGCTCATAACCCCATATACCCCTCGTACCAAGGCCGCCCAGGCATTGTATGCGGAGGAATAGCCAACAACGCACCCACCACCACACCCGCAAACACGAGTGCAACCGCCGCACTCCGCATCACAATCTCCCACTGAGCACGGGTCACCAAAGGACTCCACACTCGTGTGAGTGGTGCCACAGCCGGAGTCCCATTAGAATGTTCTGGCGCTATGCGACGACCTGCTCGACGTAGACGGGAGCCTAATGATTCGGAAAGTGCGTTGAGCGAGGAGGAACGTTGATGAGGTACGATCCGACGATGACAGCCAGGCAGCTCGTCAAAGTTGAACACGGGTTGTGAGTTTGATATTGGGTGGTACTTTGTTTCAACCATTTCCTCATGCTCCAGCACACTTGGGTCAAACGGTGCAATAAATGGCGCTGTGTCGAATGGGCTGGACAGGGTGGGAGAGTACGGTGGGATCGTTGGAATACTCATGCCCGAAGTGTTGGAGATGTTACGAGAATGATGAATACGAGAAGGGATAGTGATACGCGGAGGAAGCGTGGTGGGTGACGCAGGGAACGGGGAGGACACATGGATGTCCTCAGGCGTAGCAGGTGATGGCATAGAGTTGGCCACAAAAGGACCTCGAATAGGTGCCGGTTTTTCAACATAGGCGGGGGAAGCAGACCAACTATGTTCGCGCCCTAGGGTGAATGCCGAGATTGATTCAGGTGTATGCGCTGGGTTTGGTAGGTCGAGTGGTTGGGGAGACGAAATGGAGGGTCGCGCGAGCTCAAACGGATGCAACTGGCGAGCATCTCCCAAAACAAATATAACAAAACAGATCCCATGAATAGAGCTCAAGAAGATTGTTGCACCAAGCCACAGAACAGGCAAGGCAGCAAGTCGAAGCACACGTGGCCTATCGCCTAAGATGGACACCAGTAGGGGAGCCAGAGCAATCGCACTAGTCCCAACACCTCCGATGAGAGCACACCACACTCGTTGCTTGCCGGCGTTCCTAGTTCGTGCAGCAACAAATCGAACAAGAGACTCCCTAAGCATGTACTCCACCTCTCGTAATATCTGGCTGAAAATCGTAGGAGGAGGATGAGGCTGCCCTTTCGCGGCATTGAGAAAGTTTGAAATAAGAATGGAGGCGAGGTTGAGCTCGTGTGGAGAAGAATGAGAGAAAAAGGTCGATTTTGCACGAGTGAACGATAAAGCAAGTGAGCGTGATGAAGGTGTCGCCGTTGCAAACCAAGCACGATGCCGTTTGGTATACCTAAATTTCACCAAGCGATAACTTATTAGAGAATACCCGGTTGCAAGCCATCAGACACCCACTCTCTCAACCAAAGAACGAAGTATCTGATAGAAGTTGATCAGTTACCTCGCGACGAAGATGTAGATTTACGCACAGGTTTTCAGCTGAGCGCTCATCAAACAAAAGGTATTCTTCAAAGTCTTTCAGACTTAGTGGTGGGAGGTGTTTTCCATCCAAGATGTCATCCAGTGCGACACGAAAGATGGGCACGACTTCAGACATACACTTTATTCAGTTACGCTGAGACTTTGGGTGATGGCGAGACTAACCATTGCACGAGCGATGCTGGTGCCGACCTTCAGCCGCAGGAGGGGTGAATATACGTTGAGGAAGATTGCGCAACGCAGACCACCACGAGTATTGGTATGCGGGTGGACGGTAAGCTCTTCTGGTGCCGCTGAAAGTCGCCATGTTTGGTGATAAAATAATAAAAATAATGAATGAGTGTGTCAAGACCCAGCCTTGATATTGATACAGGCTTCCTGCAAGGCCTACAGCAGACGACTGGCGCCTGAGAGGAGTAGAAAGCGGGAGAAGTATATCCCAACTTCACCCTCCCGCACCTATGAGTCCTTTTGGGATTGAAACCTGCCAACGCCACGCGAGCGAATTGATTCCGACTAACCCAAACCGAGCAACGAGAACTTGCTATCCTTGGATACTCGGGGACAGCTGATGGCCAACAAATTCACATGGTGACATCCGAGCGGAACAATTCCCATTGAGCGAACGAAATACAAATAATGTACACACAAAAATCAAGCTGAAATGTAATCTAAGCAAGAAAACAAAGAAAGCAAATCTACTGCGCACCCGTGACTCCTTGGAACATAACCAATGCCTGCATGAGCATATTTGGATCCAGCCGAATGGCCACACCCAGTTGGGCCAACACCTCGTCGTACCCGCTGATTTGACGATGTTGTATATTTCCTAAAGCGTTTTCAATCCGGAGGGACAGGGAATCAAGAATAGTCATCAACTCTTCGTCTGAGGCGTCCTTGCGAATGTCCGGCATTAATAGCGCGGGGTTCGCATACATAACCATGCTCTCCACAGCTTCCTCGAGTTGGTTGAGGTTCGGCGCCGAGGGGTTCCGTCGGAGCGTGATATCACGGAACACTCGTCCACTCGAGAGCGCTTCGAGCCGGGCGCAGAGGGTCCCAAGTTGCCGAATCTGCTCGACATTAAACTGTACACGGGATGCCGCGGCAGGCGTGTTACTTGGTTGAGAAAGCTTCCACCGTCCGGCCAACTGCCTGGGCAAAATTGAGGTTAAGAGCTCTGGAACCTCGAGTCCCTTGAGTCGCCGCTCTCCAACTTCGGTAGTCTCTGGATCGAGCATCCTGAGTTGTTCCACGACCCGTCCAAGCTCGGACTTTTCGCCTTCTGCTTCGTTCAACAGCTCCTGGTTCCGTAGCCAGGCATTAACCTCCTTGAGTGCGTCCGCGCTAATCATGATCTCCCCACCAATCGCCGTGGCGCTGACACGAGCAGAACGGTTGACCATTGGCCCGAAATAATCCATGCGTCCGGTGATCGGATCCTCTTCGCACAGAGGGGCACCCCAATGGATACCCATCCGCACTGACAACCCACGAGCGAGCAGCTCGCCCCCCTCACCAAACATCTCCTTCCCATCTTCCGACTCGAGAATCTCGATTGGCCAGTCTGCGGCGCATAGACCTATCTGCACGTTGAAACACCACAACAATGCGGCCGGCGCGCTCTGGAACGAAACGATAAACGCGTCGCCTTCGGTCTTGACTTCGTAACCT